ACAGATCCAAGCACACTTAAACATACCCAGAAGCAGAACAGGCTATGGGGAAAGCGAATGCTGGAGCGGCAATGGCGCAACTGCAGACGCGATGCGCCCGCGGTAACCAAGGCGCTCAGGGGGGTGTTCTGGCGGCGGAACAGGCGGCGCAGTTCGCGGCGAAGCAGGCGTTGGAAGCCAAATGTCGAGAGCTGGCGACCGATCGGGACGGGCGCCCTAGATTTCCGATCAGGAAACTTGCGCTTCCCAAAGATTGGCGATCCTAGCAAATTCGCGCGCAGTTGAAGCTGCCATGGCGAATTCGCACGAGAGAGAGAGAGAGAGAGAGAGAGAGAGAGAGAGAGAGAGAGAGAGAGAGAGAGAGAGAGAGAGAGAGAGAGAGAGAGAGAGAGAGAGAGAGAGAGAGAGAGAGAGAGAGAGAGAGAGAGAGAGAGAGAGGAGAGAGAGAGAGAGAGAGAGAGAGAGAGAGAGAGAGAGAGAGAGAGAGAGAGAGAGAGAGAGAGAGAGAGTTGGCCGCTGAGGAGCTAGGGGGCCGTGACATGTTGAAGTTTGCCCAATCGGGGGCAAGCCCGCCTGCGCGCGCGCGCAGTCACCGTCGAAGCGCGCGGGGAGACGGACGTGGCTGAGCACGGCGTCGCGGATGGCTCCAGGGTCGCGGCCGGGGTTGCCTCTGCTGCTGCCCAGGAAACCCGGGCGCCGGCTGCGGCGCGGCCGCCGGGCCATTGAAGGGGCCCCGCGCCGCCGCGGCGCCGCTGGGCCCAGCGCGGCCCCGCAGGGGCGCCTGCCCCAGGAAGGAGGGGGCTGACGTCGGGGCCCGCGGCCCGAGATGACGCGCCTGCGCGCAGATTGCGTCGCGCAGTTGCCCGGGGCGCGGCGGGGGCGCCAGTCGCGCTGAATTCGCCGAGGTCGCAGCGAACTGCCGCGCCGCATGATCGGCCGCGCGCGGCCTGCGCAACAGCCCGAGTGGGCGATTGTGTCAGATATGATTGGTCGACGCGGCCGCCGGGGCACGTCGGGGCCGCGCGGGGCGCGCCTGCGAGAGCGTCTTGGCTGAACGCGGCTGCCGCGCGGGGCGCGCCCGGCCGGGGAAACGTCGCGCGAGTCGTCGCGGAGGAGGCGCCCCGGGCGGGGCGGGCCCGAAAGGAGGGGGCAGGCCGCTGATTCGCAAACCCAGGAGAAAGGCATCGGAAGCTCAAGGGCATCGTCGAGATGCACCGCGGAGCCGTTGAGATATACCAGCGCGGGGGCAGCGCAGTCAGCTCCCCAGCGCCTGGCTGCGCTCGCTGCCATTCCTGCCCCCGATCCGCCGCCTCTCATCTAGCGGCCGCGGCCAGGCTGGGCCGCGCGGCGGAGGTCCCCCGGGCAAGCTTCGGTGGAAACGACGACGGCGCAGAGGATGCAGAGGGCGCGCCCGTCGAATGCGACGCCCAGATATTTCAAAAGGGGGCGAGCGCCAGGGCGAGACCGACCGCGCCCGCGCGGCTTCAGCGACAGATATCATGCCCCGGCATAGGCCGCAGATTTCGACCTCGAGGACGACGAGAGAGTCGCGGTCGTGGAAGACACCTTGCATTTCGCGGTGCGCAACCACAGCCCGATGGGCTGCAGCTAAGTTGCACGGGCGTCAGGGGTCGAGATGCTCGGCGCCTGCAGCGGGGCCGATCGACGGGTCTCCCGCCGCCGGCGCCATGTCCGGGGGCCACGGGGCGCGCGCGCCGACTCCCCTTGCTACGCTGATGCGCGCGCTCGGAAAACAGTCTGTTCATTCATGCGAGACGCGGGGCCCCGGCGACGCGCAACGCCAGGGCCCCGTTCCAGGAGGGCCGCTGAGGGCACAATGCCAAGCACTTACCGCCGACGCCCAGCAGCGCAATTTTGATACAGCATTGGCCACTTCCAAAGCATAATCAAAGTTGGGAGAACGCGCCCGCGACTGGTGGCCAAATAATAATCGCGCGCGCAGCCTCGGCATCGCGACGAGCTCAGTCAGGGCGCGCAACAGTCAGCGGGGCTGAAATTCGACCACCTGTAGCGGCCTGAGCGCAGCCGGAGAGTCTCCATTTCGACCATCTTGCGCCGCACCGCCCTCGATCGGCAAGCCAATGGCGGGAGTTCGGGCCAGCGCTCTCGGAGCGCGAACAGTGGACATGTCTCTGCCCATTGCGACCGTGCCATGACGAGCGTTGACCATCAACGCCGCAGGTGTTTCAGGTGGGTCAGTCTCACAAGAAAAAGGCTTGCGCGGAGATCGTTGCGAAGGTCGTACACATGCGTACGAACAGAATCCTGCTCGAGACAATAATTCCTCATGCAATATAATATTCGTCGGTGAACACTGATGGAGCGATGTAATCACTCGGGCACGGTAGGATCCAGGCATGGGTTCCAGACCACCTGGGGCCGGGGAGCTGCATGTGTAAAGCACGTAGTGTAGCCTGATGCAACGGCCGTTCGACGCTGTGTGCGTCACTTCCATCGGCCTGGAATGCCGGTATCTTTTCAAGCGCCCATCATGTGTAAGTTACTACGAATCAGCACCGCCTACGGTGCAAGACAGCGCGCCCACGTCTGCTTGGGAAGCACAGTTCCAGGCAGCGTCACAGTCACAAGAAAAGACGGATGATCACCGTCGTCTTGTTGTTGCCGGCGACCTCGATCGTCGTCGTCGTCGTGCGTTGCGTTGTCGTGGTCGTCATGGTCGTCGTCGTGTTTGTCGTGGTCGTCGTCGCCGTCGTCGTCGGCGGCCTCGTTGTTGCTGAGCGTTGATGCTGTCGCTTGCCGGCGCGCCAAGGGGGGTAGTTGTCGCGCCCCCCATTCCCCGTGAGCCAGAAGGGGGGCCGCAACCTCCTCCCCCCCCCTTGCGAGGGGGGGGGCAATGGAGTTGGGGGGAGGTAAGGGGCGGAAGGAGGTTCGGAGGAAGTGCTTTGCATGTTTTTCGGGGAAGGGGGGAAGGGGCTGGTTTGAGATACCCCCGTCGTGGGGATATCTCCAAGCAAGCAAGATTTAAACGCGCCCCCCTCGACCATCGGAACGCTTTGGTCCTTCAAGAAGGCTGTTCCCGTTGCAGCGTTGACCGCATTTCCGCATCGATGTTTTGCTCCCGGCATTAAGACTGGCGCTCTCGCTTCAGCGCGGGCCATATTTGTAGATCCGATTTCTGTTATGTGCGATTACCCTTATTGTTCCTTGCTTTCGTCATCCTGTTCATGCTGCTCCTCCTTCCTCCTCCTCTTCCTACCCCCGTGTGAAAAGCTTCCTTGCCGATTGCGCAGGAAACGATGTGCCAAGTCCTGCAGTTGCCATTTGGGGATTAAGGTCCTCTAGCATTCCGAAGGTTGCGGACAGAACATGAAATCAAATCGAAGGACGGACGGGATTGGCGGGAGGATGTTGCATGAGCGTTCCTAGCTTGTCTCCCTCCTCTTTTCCCCTTCCTCCTCCTCCTCCTCCTCCTCCGTAGCCATTTTGGCTAAAAGTCCAAAGTTCCCCAGGGGGCCAAGTGGATGCCGCTAGTCCGCGGCGGGCAAGATCCTTGTGATCTGGCAGTGTCTTGAAGCGAACCGCGCTCGCGCGGTCGGGTAAACGGAGGCATTTCCCGTTCCTGGCCGCCCGATCGCTCAGTCCTCCTCTCATGGGTCTGCCGACCGAGGCGGACAAGCAACGTCTCGCTGATGAACTGGAGGCGGCCCCCACGTTCCCTTCGCAAGAGCGGATGGCAAGCTCTGGCAAGGGGGGCAAAGGCGGCGCGGGCAGTGCTGCTGGCTCTCGCGCTGCTGGCGGCCGCCCGCGCAGGGCTCCCCGACATCCCCACGAGGATGAATCATCAGAGGGCCGCTCCACGCCTCGCAGCGGGCGTGGGCAGTCGCGGACCGCTGGCACCGTGGACCTGGACGATGACTTGGAGTGCTGGCGGCGACAGCATGCGCGCGGCGCCAGCGCAGAAGGGGCTCCTCATGACGCCTGGGCGGCCGCGGCTGCGCGCGCGGGGCTGCCCCGCGTTGGTGGAGAGAGTGTTCCTCGCCAGCACCCAGCGCAGGCATCGTGCACCGGCCTGGCCGGCGACCTGGGCGCACCTCCCGCTCGGCCTGGTGCATCCGCGGCGGCCTCGAGCGCGCCTCGCGCTCATGGGGGTGCTCCTTCATCGGTGGAGGCTAGCCTGCAAAGCATGGAGGCGCGCCTTCAGGCATCCCTGCAGGCAGCGGTGGCGTCTGCGAGCTCGAGCATGTCAAAGGCCTTCCAGACGGCGCTCGTCGAGATGGCCCAGCAGAACGACGGCCGCTTCCAGGCGATGGAGGACCGCATCGCCCCCATGGAGGAGAAGATGGTGCAGGTCGACCAAATGCAGAGAGAGATCCAGAAGCTCAAGGAGGAGCTGGCGGTGCTCAACGCGGGCGCCCCCGCGGAGCTCTCGGGCGGCAACTGGGACAGGGCGACGGACACCGCGGTCGCCACGGTCTTCGCCAAGCCCGCGCTCTCCAAGCCTGCTGTGGAGCAAGCTCTGGCCCCGCTGGTTGCAGAGGCACAGCTCAACGACCACGTGGTGCTGGAGGGCGACGCGGTCTCGCAGCGCTTCCTCCTCCGTTGCAAGGGCGCGGCAGCACTGGCGGCCCGTCGGGTCAACAAGTTGCTGCAGCTCATGCGCGTGGGGCAGGGCCAATGGCGGGAGATCCATGCAGCAGCCCCGACGGGCGCGCAAGTCCTCCTCAATCTGGGTAAGGATCGGAACCGTCGTCAAGTCAGTCACGAGCTTGCCCTCAAAAGGATCAAGCAAGGTATCGAAGGTCTGCTCCCGCACAAGCTCTTCATGGAGAAGGACGCGGCGGCGCTGTCGCTACAATGGGCGCAACTGCTGCGGGTACAGATCGAGCCCCCCTCGGCATGCCCCAAGGTGCTATGGAATATGGCGTGCATCAGGAAGTTCAATCTCGACAAGGTCGCGCTGGCGGAGGCGGCAGAGCGTGTGCTGCAACCCGAGGCGCAGGAGTGGCGTCTTTAGCAGGATGGCTCGTTGCTGGGGAGCGGCGGACGGAGTGGCCCAGTTCGCGTCGTGGAACACCAGGGCCTTCGCCAGCTACCAGCCGAGGCTCATCAAGAAGAAGCTGCGCTACCTGCGGACGCACTGGCGGGGGCCAGTCGTACTTGGGATGCAGGAGACGCACGCGGGGTTGGAGACCATGCAGCAGCTGCTTGGTCGTTCGGCCCGAGATTTTGTTTGCTTTGCTTCATCACCAATCGGAGCTCTTTCTGATGCGGGCGGGGTAGCCACTGTCTTCCCTGCGCAGACGAGTGGCGACCGCATCGCATACATCCCGTTCGACGCTGTCCCTGGCCGCGCTCTCAAGGTGTCGGCCCTCAAGTCAGGCGCTGAGCTCCGCCACTGGAACGTGCACAACCACGGCTTCACAGCGGAGGTGCGCTCTCGCCTTCTTCAACAGATTCGAGCTGACCTCGCATGGGCACACGCCGACCCTGCTGCCCGCGCTGCGGTGGTGGTGGGCGACTTCAACTACGGCGACGTCATGGAGCAGGAGGTGTTCAGCGCACAGCCCCCTGGGCAAGCACCGTCTGGGCCGAGGGCGCACGCCCAGCGGGCCTGGGAGGAGGCGACGCGCCTGGCTGTGGACCTTGCTCCTGCCCGAGCGACGCACTGGCATCAAGGTCTGCGTCGTGCTTCCAGGATTGACAAAATCAGGGTGAGCATCCCCCGCTGGGCCCTCTGCCAGCTCTGGCAATCTGCTGCGGTGTGCGGCGAGCCAAGGGAGCTACACATCAATGAGGTGAGCGACCACGCGATGGTCATCGCATCAGTTGCGCCGAGGGCGCTGCGGCCCCGCTCGCTGGGCCCCGCCCCCATCCCAAGAAGGCTGGTCATGATGCCGCGCTTCCGCGAGATCGCGGAGCTCTACTGCGCGGAGGTGAGCTGGGACAAGCTGGCCCCCCCCCGACGCGTACGCAGCGCATGTCACATCCCTCCAGGCGGCGGCCAAGCTCCTGCAGTCCGAGCTGCCGGCGACGAACGGGGGCGCGAAGGGCCCCAACGCCATGATCTGGAGGCAACTGGCCCGTGCATTCTGGCGCCAGGACGCTGCGCTGGCGAGGGTGGTGATGGCGCAGAACCCCCGGGCGCATGACGCGGTCGAACTGGGGCCGCTGGGCCAGCCGCACCAGGTGACGCTCAAGGACCCCGCCGAGTTCGAGCGCCGCTACACGTTGGCCCAGCGACGGGAGGCAACTGCATGCAGGCGGGAGGCGCAGGAGGAAGCCGAGGCGGAGTCGGCGGAGGAGCTGCGCAAGCGCTTGATCGCGCAAGTTCGCGCTCTCCAGCGGCGTGCACAACTGTGGGCCCCTCGGGGTGCCAGGCAGCACCTGGCCGCGGTGGACCTCCCCCAGGGCGCAGTGACCGCGCAAGAGGGCATGGCGGAGGCGCTGGCAGCGCACTGGAAGCCTGTCTTCGACCCGCCCAAGGACGCAGCCTCCGAGAGGAGGAAGGCGAGGATGCAGAAGCTGTACCTCGAGCGCTTCGCCACGCCGGCCCCCGAGTGGGACGCGCCCCCTCCGCCTGGCCCTGAGGCTCTGCGCCAGGCAGTGACCCGCGCTAGGCCCGCGGCGCCTGGCCCTGACGGCCTCCCCGCTGCGGCGTGGGGAGCGACGAAGCAGGGGATAGAGATTCTCTATCGTGCGTCGGTCTGGCTTCGCTCGGGATACCCGATGAGATCCGATTTCAACTGCGCCATTGGAGTGTTCATCCCGAAATCGCAGGCCCCGTCTGATGGTTCCCCCCACTCGTGTCCTCCGAGTGCGACCCGCCCTCTCTCTCTCTCTGAAATCAACGGGGCCAGAAGCGATTTCGAGCGCATTCAATTTTAGTTTTGCCCGTGGTATCAAGCAGTCCGTTTCGGCCTCTCAGAGAGGATTTGTCCGCGGGAGAAACTTTTTGTCAAACCTGGTTGAGCTCGATGCCTGGGCCCGAATCGCGAGCATGCGAGCGACCGACCCCGAGGGGTGCCCCCCCGAGTCCTCGTCGCCCATGCTTCTCGCTTTCGATTATGGCCAGGCTTTTCCTTCTTTGGATCATTCCTGGATGTGGGGGACTCTTGAGGCCTGGAGGGCGCCTGTGGGTTTTCTCGAGGCGCTGCAGGGAACCTATGTGAATGCTACCACTTTCAGTGCTTGCTCTGCTCGGGTCCCACTGTATAATGTGCGTGGGGGAGTGATGCAAGGCGACCCCCCCTCTGGCAGCATGTTTGCCCTCGGAGTCGACCCCTTTGTGCGTGATCTAGACTCGGCCCTCTCGGGTGGCGAGAGCTTGGGCAAGGGGCTCGCCAGATGGTGTGCCGATGACTGTGGTGCTGTGACGTGGGGGGCCCCTGGCCGCAAAGCTCTGCGCCGCGTCTTCTCTGTTTCGGGCAAGATCGCTAATCTGCATCTTCGCCCAAGCAAATACTTTTGCGTTCCTCTCTGGGCACCTTTCTCGCCAGCCATCAAGAATCAAGCCCAGGGGCTCCTGCAGGAAACCTCTAACGAGTGGCAGCAGTTTAAGGTTGTGTCGGAATTAGATTACCTGGGATGCGTTCTCGGCCCTTCCACCACGATGCACACGCAGTGGGCGCCAGTTGTGCAGAAATACAGAGACCGCACACGAGCGATTGCTAGCACGGGTGCTGATGCGGCAGCGTGTGGCGTCTTGTGCAGAGAGAGGGCTGTGAGCGCCCTTCCGTACAAATCACAACTCTTCGAACTTCCGAAAGAGGAGGTGGCGGACGAGCGACACCACCTCACTCGTCTCTTCCGTGCGCCTGGCTCGTGGCTCCCTCTTCGTTGCTTCTTCGACCTCCACTCCTTCGGCGGCCCCCCTCCCCCCCCGCTCCGCGCTGTCGACCTCGCCGCCCGAATGCGAACCGCCCTCGAGACGACAACGGTCTGGAGATCGCTCTGTCCGAGGCTGCCGGCGGAGGCGGAGGAACACCTACCGCCGGTGCAATGGGTGGGGCGAGGGCGCGGGCACACTCCGTGGCCGAGCTTCTGGATTGAGCCCCCGCTAGCCTGGAACCTCCGCTGCGCGGCGGAGGCTGCGGACGAGCTTGGCCTCCTCGCCGCCCCCGCCCGCGCGGGCCTCGCCTTCCTGCGCGATCGCCAGTCGGCACAGCAGGAGGCCTTGGCGGCGGGCAGGCCTTCCATGTCCATCAAGACTCAGAGGTGCCTCCTGGAGGGCATCGCCCCCATCCTGTACCCCTCTGCCTCCTCGCTCATCCCTCTCATTGCCCAGCGTCTCCAGCGTTGGTTCCAGGTCGGGGAGGGCGTTTGTCGTGGGGTGGACTGGGTCGGGCTGGTGGGTCTTCTGCGTCGCTCCCCCCCGTCCTGGAGAATGGCTGCCATCAAGACGTGGACAGGGGGGTGGGTCACGGACACCCGCATGCGCAACCCCGACTTGTCATGTCTTATGGGATGCGAGTGCCCTGACTCCCTCGCCCACTATGTGCGTTGCCCTGGATTTATTGTCCTCGTCCGTTCCGTTTCGGGGTCCGAGGTGGACCCGTCCCTCCCCCGACGATTGGCCATCCTTGATCCCTCTCTTTTGCGTCTCCGCCAGCTCGTGATTCTCTTTCACCTCCACCGCCTCCTTCACCAAGCAAGGAGGAGCCGAGGAAACTGGTGTCCGTCCGCCGATCAGGCGAGAGACTTTGCCAAAGCGGCACAGATTGCGACTGACACCCCCATGGGAGGGCAGCGCATGATCGCCAGAAGCTTGAGAGTGCAGCAGGTGTAGGCGTGGCTGACGAACTCATTCAGACGCTGGGCCTCCTCCTCCTCCTCCTCCTCCTCCTCCTCCTCCTCCGTTCCTCATAGCGTCCTCCTCCTCGTCCTCCTCCTCCTCCTCTTCCCCGTTTCATCCTCCTCCTCCTCTTCCTCTCCTCCTCCTTCGCCTCCTCCTCCTCCTCCTTCCCCCCGCGCACTCCTCTCCTCTCCCCATCCTCCCCTCCTCCCTCCATTCGATTATTTTCTCCTCCCGAACTCCACCTCCCCATCCCCATGGCTCCTCCACCCCTCCTGCCTCCCGTCTCCCCCAATCTCCCCCTCTTCCCCTGGCCCCTCCCGACCCAGACCGCCGACGACTCGATTCTTCAAGTCGCTGAGCCCTGGAGCTCTCGACCCCTTCACCTGGCCTGGCTTTTCATCCCGAATCGCTTTTCCACGTGCCCAGGGCCAAGGGGCAGTCCCCCGCGGCCGAAACCGCCCAAAGACCCTGGGTGCGATCCCTTCATGTCGCCATCAGGTCTGGGTCCTCATCCCTCTTGTGCTTCCCAGGTCCCCTCTCCCCGCGCGCGGTCAGCCATCCTTCGGCCCGTGCATCCGAGTGCAACCCCCGCCCCCGCTCCGGGGGCAACGACAGGGGGGGATTGGCCCAGGGGAGAGGGGGCAACGACCCTCCATCGCCCATTCCTCGCCGATCGGGGCACGGTTGCCCCACCCCGCCCCAGAGCGTAAGGTTCCGCTGTCGAGAACCGATCGCCGATCCATTGGTGACTCCTCGCCGATGCCAGGTCGACGTTTTCCCCCAGTCCTCTCACACTTCTCTCTTTCCCTCCCCTCACCGTTCTGTCCCTCCCTCCCCCTCACACTCCTTTTCCTTCTCACATTCCTGCGCTCCTGCTCCCCCTCACACTTCCGCTCCGTCGCTTCCCCCTTCCGCTCCCCCTCCCTCGTCAGTCCTTTCCTGAGCTTTTTCCGGGCACCTACCTCCTGCGGCATCGATGGGCCGCCGCGGTCTGCGGGCGCACCACGGAGGGCGGTGCCGCAGCCAGTTTCTCCTGCCATTGTCCTCGAGCAGCGCCGTGCCCATGCTGAAAGAGGGAAAGGTTGGAAGAGAGGCGTGTGTGCGTGGGGAGTCGGCAGAGAATCGGTGTAGCCAAGACGCTGAGAAGAGGAGCAGCTTGGATTCGGAAATGTTTGCCTGCTCATTGGGTCCTTCCATGGTTGTTTCTCCAGCGCCCCTGTCTCCTCGTGCACCCAGCTGCTGCTGGGGCCGAAAATCGGAGTTGTTCCTGGTTTGGCGTTCCTGATGGTAGTAGCTTGATAGTGCGATCGGAGTGGATACGGAACGAAAGGTGATCAAGGCCGACGCCAGTTCTTGCCAGTCTTGGGCAGGACTCGCTGCCAGCGTCGCCGCGGGCGTTGTCCATTGGAGACAAAAAGCGCCTGTTCAATAGCAGCCGCTGTCGGTCTTGGACAACATTCGTTGTTGGGCATCGTGCTCATTTTTCCGGACGTACCCATTTCGGGCTTGCGAAGAGAAGGAAGAGGGTACGGAGGAGACAGGAGCGGCGGGGAGGGGGTCACTTGAACCAGGGACACGCTGATCTGCAGGCAGCAGCGAGGAGGGACGCGGGAGGGGAAGCGGGAAGGAGGACCAAATGACGGAGCGGGGATGGGGGGGCGGGAGGGGGCGAGGGAGGTGCGGGTGAGCGGCTCTGCAGAGCGCGCGCGCGCACCATGACGACGGCGGCGGCGGCGGCTCCCCGAGAGGGCTGTTGCCCAGGGCGGCCCGCGGGGGCCTCCGAGGGGCCTCGCACCCTTCGCGCGCGCACGCGTGCCGCGCGCTCGGCGGGGCGGAAGAGGCAGCTGGTGCGACGGCCGCGCGTCCACCTGCGGAGGCGCCTCGGCCCGGGGGAGGGCACGCGGCCACCGGGGAAGACATCGTCGCCGCCGCCGCCGTCGCCGCCGCTGGTGCGTACAGGCATGTTTGGCGCTCAGGGTTGAGTTCTTCGGTCGGTTTCATCTCGATTGGCCTGGGTGCGGTTACCAAGACGAGTTCGGTGTGGCTGATTCCGTTCCCCGAATCATCTTGCACAGGGGGAGGGAAGGACGAGGACAATGACGAGGTCTGCGGCGTCCTCTGAGGGTCTCAGGGGGAAGGGAGATGTCGGATGGTTTATCGTGGTGTCTGATGTTGTTTGATGTGCTCGGAGTGTTTTGGGAGGCTTACAAAGAGGGGCTGGAAAAAACGAGTAGATGGAAGAGAGCGACTGGAAAGAGAGCAGCAATACAAATGAGGAGGAGGGGCACGACAGGGATGAGCAGGAACAGCAGGAAGGGATATGTACGGGAAGGAGGAGCAGAAGGACGAGGAGGACAAGGATGAGGAGGCGCAGGACAGGGAGAAGCGGGACGTGAGGGAACGGTAAGAAGGAGGAACAAGTAGGAGGGGGAGGAGAGGGGGGGAGGAGAAGAAGCAGCAGCAACATGAGCAGAAGGAGAGGTAGGAGCAGCATCAGGGCCTGGAGGAGGTCGAAGGAAATGATTAGGATGAGAAGCAGTAACAAGAGGAATCGAGTCTGTGGGGGTGAAGAGGAACGAGGACGAGAAAGTGGAGGAGAGGGTGGCGGAGGAGGTGGACGATATTGCGAGGTGTCGACTCGTATTGTGGGTATAAGTCACGTTTCAGGTGTTCGCGCATCCCCTGAACGATTTTTGCGGCTGTGTATTCGCGAGCGGGTGAGTGAGGTTGGTGTGCATGTAGATTTGTCGGCGAGGAACGGAAGAGTTGATAAGCGTGCTGGAAGCACTTGTAGCGACTTGATTGACAGTTCCCCTGGAATGTGGGACTGGACTGGGACACCACCAGCGGCGCATGTGTAAAGTGCCGCTCGCTCGAAGGTTGGTTGACTTCACTGGGTAGGAAGTCGTCCGCATTGCCTGGCCTCCACCTGTAGCTTAGCCACCAATGTGCAAACATGCCAACGTCAGCACAGAACTATAATGTGTCAGAACTGGCTTCGTTTGGCCGGAGCAGGGCTGTGAGGCACAGGGCTGGTGCTGGGAGTAGGGCCCCCCTGGAAACCTTACAAGGCTTCCAGAGGGCCCCAAGGGAGGGCCAGATCGCACCACGGCGGCAACTGAGGGTCTCAGCAACGGCGGTACGAGGGTCCCCCCCCCAAGAGGGTCTCAGGAAAGCCACATCGTGAGAGGCCGCAGAGAGGCGCCGATGGGGTCGGCCTTCGTGGCACGGCGGCGTGGCCCCACCAGGCCGGGGGGCCCTAGCACCAGCACCTGCAGCTGCTCCACGTTGTTTGGGCACCCCCATTCCCCCATCCAGGACGGCAGGTGTTTCGTAGCCCAGTGGCACTTGAACAACAGATTCGTGCCCCTCGGGCAGTCAACGAAAACAATTCAAGATGAAATATCTGGCCTAGTTCGCGAGTTCTGGAGGGGGGCTCTGCCTCGAACATCTCGAGCGACTTGATGTCTGGAATGAGCGCACCCCAGCTTCAGAGCGCCCCCGACAAGGCGCCCAAGAAGATGCCGACGCGGCCGAGGCAGCCCAAAAGAAACTCCGTTCCACCCCCCTGGGCCGCTGCTGGCGGCCCAGGATGGCGGAACAGTGTCGAAACATTATGTGTGTTGAGTGCCTGGGGCACCAGAGAGGGCCTCAGGCCCATAGTTCTTCCTAAGGTCAATCGTAGGCGCACCTGGGGTCTCCCAAGAGGCCCCGAGAAACCCCAGGATGTCCCCATCCGAAGTCGTCGTGTTGGCTCAAGCGTCGCCTTGCTAGCGGTGACCTGGTCTTGCGCTTCGCCATGATGAGGTCCATGATGTTACTGTTAGCGCTCGCCGCGTGCATCTTGGGCGACACCACAACCATATATAAGGTAGATTTTCCAGAGAAGGGCTATTGTGGCCAAGAGACGAACGTTACAAAGTCGAGGCTTAATCCACACTGGATCTTCCCTATGACGTTCGGGGGGTTTAAGGAAGGTAACTGCTCTGATGTAGGCTATACAATGTACAAGGATACAGAGGTCGTGGTGATGCGTCCTGTTCCAGGAGTCCATCACAATCTTACATTCGATATCTATTACCCGACCCAGACGAAGACAATAGATGTAGAATTGAAGGACCCCTCCCGAGGGAAGAGGACCGTGATGTTCAAGTTCTGCATGCCGTCTGGGCCAGGAAGGTGGCCACTCTACCTTTTTGGCCACGGTGCAGGGTGTGATGCAGAGGACTACCAGTATTTTTGCCAGTTCGCAGCCACGGCGCTGATCTATCAGAAATCCCCGGCGGGATCTTTCTTCCCAGCAGACTTTGATACTCAGGGGGAGGCGCTCGACGCCGCCTTTCTGGCGTCGAGGCTGCCCTGGCTCTCGCGGGCAGTGCCAGCGTCGCCCTTCTTCGGTAAGCTGGACGGTACCGTCGTCTTGGGCGGCCACTCCATGGGGGGAGGTCTTCGAGGACGAAGGGAATCATCATAGGGCATAGGGCATGATAAGCTTCTGGGGCGGTCCGCGCGGAGTTTCCGGGGTCGAAGCCGGACACCCCCTCCCTGCACCACTCCCTTGGCGCGCGGAGCGGCGCTTGAGGCGGCGCCGGGGGCCTTGTAGGGAAGTCCAGCGCCGACCGACCCCGAAAGTCCGCGCAGGCCTCCAAACGTCTCCCCGAGCAACCGAGCAATGCCTGCACTATGAGGGAGCTCTCGCTTCTGTTCAGAGTGCGGCAGGGCCTTCAGGTCTTCGGCCAGTCGCCAGCCGTGGCCGCCTCGTGGCCGCCTCGTGGCCGCCTCGTGCGCTGGCTGGCGCTTCTGGGTTTTCGGCCGGGCGCCGCCCGTGGCCGCTTCACACACACACACAGATCGTAGCATGCAGCCTGCACCACACAGGCTGCCCAACCTGGCTTGCCACGAATGGGTTGCACGGCATAGCGTGCACGGCAGATGCTGCAACGCATGCATTACCCTTGGACGATGTATGCCTTTACCCCCATGCCGAGGCTGGATTTACGCGCCAAGTTGTTCGTATTTAGTTCGCATAGTTCTTTCGCACGGTCGTGCATTTTACAACGAATTGGCACAAGCATGCGAAGCCACGGCACTCCCCGTTATCCGTGCCATAAGACAATGCGGAGAACACGTACGTGTTGATCAAACAAACTCGTATTGTAACAATGAGCATATGTTAATAGAGGCTTGCGGTCCACATATAGCACGACCGCGATACAAAACGACGGGCGGAATGGGTGTGGACATTCCCAACACGCTGTGAGTCGGCATGGGCGCGTGTGGCGGTGTTCCGAGGAAGGTCTTTCTCTCAACGCAACACCGAAGCCCCAACAGCCCCCGAAAGACAAATGAATGCTTCCTCGCCCAACCCCGTGCGCATCAGCGGACGCGCGGTCCAATCGCTCGCACCCCCGTGAAAGTTTGAACGGTTTTCCGCCTGCGGGTGGCCCCCTGAGGCGATCCACTCCTTAAATTCGGTTTTTATTGGAGAGTGGATGGAGCCTGAATTGGGCGATTTTGCTTGGGACGTCCTGAGAATCTGCCTGGTTTGGCCTCTGGCTTGGCCTGCTTTGGCTCTGGTTTGGCTTGGTTTGGGCCGCGCGCCCCACCTGAGACATCTCCAACATTTGCTTGGTTTGGCCCCTGGTTTGGCTCTGGTTTGGCTTGGTTTGGGCCAGGTTCCGCCTGAAACGTCCTCACAAGTTGCCAGGCCCTTGGTTTAGCCTGACTTGGGCCCGGTGCCGCTTGAGGCGTCCGCGCGGTGTGCCTGGTCTGGCCCTGGTTTGGCATGGTTTTGGCCCCGTTCCGCTTGAGACGGGCCTTGCAACTTGTGGTGGTGTTTCAAATTGGCATATTGCACCAGAGAAATCATTGACATTCGCCTGGGCCACGTTGTCTTCGACATTGAACGAATCATAAACAAAGGTCGTGGCTTGCGTGTGAAAGCCGGAGTAATGGCATTGTGCGCAATGAAGATCAAGATCATTTGTGGGCCACATATTGATAGAGCACGACTGCGATACAAAACGACGGGTGAAATGGGCGTGGACATTCCCAACACGCTGTGGGTCGGCGTGGGCACGCGCGGCGGAGTTAAGAGGACACCTTTCCGAGCGAGATCCGGCTCGGAAGTATCTCTCCAAACGCCACACCAAAGCCCCAACAGCACCCGAAAGGCAAATGAAGGCGTCTGCGCCCAACCCCGTGCGCATCAGCAGACGCGCGGTCCAGTCGCACCCCCAATAGAATTCGGAATGATTTTCCGCATGCGGGGGTCCCTCTGGAGTGATCCTTTTAATTCGAATATGATGGAGGAGAGTGGATGGAGCCTCGTTTGGGCGATCTTGCTTAGGACGTCCTCAGAATCTGCCTGGTTTGGCCCCTGGTTTGGCCTGGTTTGGCTTGGTTTGGCCACGCGCCCCGCCTGAGACATCCTCGACATCTGCTTGGTTTGGCCCCTGGTTTGGTCTGGTTTGGGCCCGATTTCGCTTGAGACGTCCTCGAAATTTGTGTGGTTTGGCGCTGGTTTGGCATGGTTTGGGCCAGGTTCCGCCTGAGACATCCTCACAAGATGCCTGGCGTGGCCTGGTTTGGACCCGGTTCCGCTTGAGACGTCCGCAGGTTGTGCCTGGTTTGGCCCAGGTTCGGCATGGTTTTGGCCCCGTTCCGCTTGAGACGGCCTCGCAATTTGTGGTGGCGATATGCATTCGCATTCTGCACAAGAGAAATCATTGCAATTCGCCTGGGCACCGGTTTCTTCGACACTGAATGGATGATGCAACCGACGCAATGGCACTGTGCGCGGTGAAGACCACGTTTGGTTCACATATATAGCACAATTGGGCTACGAAACGACGGGCGAAATGGGCGTTGACGTTCCCAACACGGTGTGGGTCGGCGTGGGCGCGCGTGGTGGGGTTGGGAGGAGGCTTGTCCGAGCCTGTATCATGCGGGCAACACGCGCGCACATTTCGAAAGAATGCCCAAACCATGGGATCCCAAGTATGTCTGGACAACAGTTTGCAACCTGATACTCGATCCATTGTGGGGGGGTTAGGGTCTGTTTAAACATTGACGCTTCGCGTATCCCCACCAGCCTTCGACTACGTGACAGTGGTCATCGTCCCCCTCGACTACGCGGTTGTGGTCCTCGGGAACCAGGGAGACAGTTTTCGCCATTTTGGCGTTGCACGCAGACCTCTTGCACCTCCCGGTCTTCTTTGTCGGCATTGGCGTTCCTCGTGGACCTGGTCTTCGGCGTCTTCTTCGCCGAAGACCAGCGTAGTTCGCAGCAACAGCAGCGTAGTTCGCTCCTGCGCGCTTAGTGCCTGATTCAGGTCGTGGCGCGGTTGCCTCGCTCTTTGACGGCGCGCGGTTGCTCCGTGTCGCTCGCGCACAATGAAGTATCCCCACCAGCCTGGGGAACCCGAGTTGCTGACTTCTCATGTGCGTGGTCGCTCTCCCCTTTTTGGGGCACCGTCTTCGACATGCGCGCCCTGGGGTGGTCGATTGCCGACTTCCCATGCGCGCGGCCACTCTCTCTCTCTCTCTCTCTCTCTCTCACTACTTGCGCTTTAATTGGCACCTCAGTGGGCGTGACGTCGCTGCTGGTCTGTGATGCCTCCCGCGCCATGTTGGCTGCGATGTGCCCAGTTCCGCTTTGAGCCTGGCACTTCCGCTTCGCTGTTTCTTTTGCTTCGGCGCGGCCCGCCCTAGCTTGCACGGCATTCGACTCGCCTTCGCGCGCCCGCGTACTAAAAGTATCCCCATCAGCCCATCCAAAACCGACGCTTCGGCGAGTTGAGACGATCATGGAACCGTAGGAGCAAACTGGGGGGCAGTCGTTATCGTTCGAGGGAGGAGGAGGAGGAGGACGAGGACGAGGACGAGGAGGAGAAAGTTGATGGATGAGGGAGAAGGATGAGCAGAAAGAGGAGGAGACGGAGAAGGTGAAGACGGAAGAGGAGGAGGAGGAGGGCGAGCACAAATATTAGAGGCGAGGGATAAGGAGGAATAGGCGGATGAGTCGGAGGAGAAAAAGGGGCATGATGATGATGGTGTTGATGATGATGGTGGTGGTGATGATTATGGAGATGGTGATGATGATGGTGGTGGTGGTGGTGATGATGATGCTGCTGCTGATGGTGATGCGGAGGGGAGGAGTATAAAGGGTGAGCAAAAGAGCCAGAAGCTTCTTGAGTGCCTTTCGGAGTTTCCTCGGATGACTCTTGGCAGCTTTTTTTGAGGCCCCTTGGGGCGTCTGGGGGGGCATCTTGGCGAACCCAGGGCCGTCTTTGAGCGTCTTGGGTGCCCTGGGGATTCTCTTCAGGACCCTTGGGGGTCTTTTGGGAGCCCATTGGAGGCCTCGTGGGCGCCTCTCGGGGCCGTCTGGGCGCCTCTTGGGGCCTGCGTGGGGCGCTCTTGGGAGCTTCAGGGGCGCTCCTCAGGCCAGCTCGGAAGGCATCGATCAGACAAGAGAAAAGCTTCGATTATTTAGGGTCCCCCCTCGGGAGCCCCACAACTCGCCTCTTGGGGCGCTCGTGGAACGCTCGTGGGCACTCTTGTGGCCGTCTTGGAGGCCTCTTGGGCCCCTTCTGGGGCCCTCTTGGGCCATCGCGGAGCCATCCTGAGGCCTCGGATGGCCAGCGGAAGCGAAGAGGCGAGAACGCACACTACATTGCTTTCCCGTAGGTATTTGAAGGATGTTGGTCTTTGGGGGGCATCCTGGGGAGGCTCCGTGGCTATCTCGAGCCGTCTTGGAGCATCTTGGGAACTATATTCAGGCATCTTGGGAGCCATATTGAGGCAGATGGGGTTATCTTGAGCCATCTTAGAGGTCACCTTGGACGCTCCAACTCCTCGTGGACCCCCCCCCGTCAAAGTCCAGGGGAGGGAGAAGGGGACGAAGGTGTTGAACGAGAAAGCTGCCCAGGGACATCGTGCGGGGCCGTCTTGGGCCATTTCAAAGCCATTATTCCTCCTCCCCCTCTTCCTCCTCCTCCTCCTCCTCCTCCTCCTCCTCCTCCTCCTCCTCCTCCTCCTCCTCCTCCTCCTCCTCCTCCTCCTCCTCTGGCGGCTGGACCCCTCCCCCCCCCCCCCCCCTAAGTGCCGTTGTGTAATCAATCTTCCTCCCGCGTGATTCGCCTCCTCCCCTTGCTGTCTCCTCCTCATCCTCCTCATCGTCCTTCCCTTTTTTTTGGGGGGGACAGGAAAGGAGAACGAAGAGGAGGAGACGGGTGGGAAGGAGAGGGAGGGGGGGTGTTCACGACAGTTGGCCAGGCGTTGGCGTGTCTGTTGTTCCTTGTATGGGGGCTCACGAAACTTGGCCATGCGTTTTAGGGGTTCTGGCTTGTGGAAGAGAAGAGAACGAAGAGGAGGATGCGGAGGGGAAGGCGAGGGGCGCACGAAACTTGACCAGGCGTTTGTGTTTATGGTTCGTCTGGTCTAGAGGCCCACGAAACCTTGCCAGGCGTTGGCCTGTATGCTTTTGTTTGCTCTGGCGTTGTAAAGAGAAGGCAGAGGAAGAAGAGGAGGACGCGGAGGGGAAGGAGAGGGGCTCAAGAAATCTGTACATGCGTGTTGTTTGCGGGGCTTCGTTTGTATGGAGGCCCACAGGACCTGGCCAGGCGTTGATTTCGTATGGTCTGCTTGAGTTGGGTGCTCGCGAAACTTGGCCAGACGTGGGTGTGCCTGGGTTGTTTGGCATGGGTGCTCACGAAACTTGGCCAGGCGGTTGCGTTTCTGGTGTTTCTGGTTTGGCAGCTGCGCGCCGCATCCCCGCAGACAAGGTTCGGTGCGCCACCCTGACCCCCAAAAAAACAACACACAACTACGCCTGGCCAGGTTTCGTTAACACAGGAACCAGACAACCAACCTACACAAGCAACGCTTGGTCAGGTTCCGTGCGCTTCCACACCAGAAACCACATACACAAAAAAACGCGTGGCCAGGTTTCGTGATCTCTTCTCCTTCCCCTCCACATCCTCCTCTTCTTCTTCCTTCCCTTCACAAGAACCAGGAAACAACCAACAAAGGCCTTACCAGGTTTCGTGAGCTTCCAGGCCGTACAAAACCAGAAACACCAACGCTTTGCCAGGCGTCGTGAGCCCACCCCCTGTCCCTCCGCATCCTCCTCTTACTTCTCTTCCTGCCCTTCCCAAAATCAGAAACACCGAAACACCAACGCCTGGCCAGGTGTCGTGGGCTTCCAGGCCATAATAGCCAGACACACCAACGCCTGGCCAGGTATCGTGAGCCCCTCTCCTTCCCCTCCGTTTCCTCATCGTCTTCTTCTTTCCTTGTCTGTTCCCCCCCAAGGAAAGGAGACGGAGGAGGAGGAGGCGGAGGAGGAGGAGGAGGAGGAGGAGCAAGAAGGGGAGGAAGAGGAGCAGGAGAAGGCGGAGGAGGAAGAGGAGGAGGTGGAGGGGGAGGAGGAGGTAGGGGGAGGAGGAGGAAACGGACAGAGGAAGAGGGAACACACAAAAGGCTCATGAGGTAAATCTGGGGGGGTCCAGCCCCTAGAAGATGAGGAGGAGGAGGAGGAGAAGGAGGAGTGGCGTTGAAATGGCCCAATAGGGCCCAGCACGGGGGTCCCATCCCGGAGCGCTCCCTAGACCACCTACGCCCTTAGAGCTCGTGAGATTTTCGTGTACCTTCTCGCATCCTTGCACCCTAGGCCGCTAGGGTGTAGCCTTGTGTCCCTACACCCTTACGAACTAGGCCGCTAGGGTGTAGCCTTACACCCTTACGCCCTTACACCCCAGGACGCTAGGGTGTTTTTTAACACCCCTATGCCCTTGCACCCTAGACCGCTAAGGTGTAACCTTACGCCTTTTTACACTCTTACAACCTACGCCGCTAGGGTGTCGCCTTGCAGCCTTACACCTTTAAACCCTAGACCGACAAGTGATGCATGACAGCCCCAACGGGGGGGGAGATTGACGATGACTGGATAAACCCTAGGCCTTCATGCCTCAAACCCGACGGCCAGCCCGTCGCAGCGCGGTGCCCCGCCCGAAGCATGGGGAGTGGAGGCGGAGGAGCAGGCGGAGCAAACATGTTGACCCAGAGCCACCCATTATCATCGTCCTCCCCTCTGTCCCACTTCTCCCCACTCCTGGCTACTCATCTTCCTCCTCCTCCTCCTCTTCCTCCTCCTCCAGGTGGATGAGGATCCCGACCTCGCCTGACCCCCCTTTTTCTTTGTGCATGTGCGAATTGGGTCACTCCCCTCGTAGTCGGGCACTCCTCCTCCTCCTCCTCCTCCTCCTCCTCCTCCTCCTCCTCCTCCTCCTCCTCCTCCTCCTCCTCCTCCTCCTCCTCCTCCTCCTCCTCCTCCTCTCCTTGCATGCGCAGAAGTAGCAGGGGGAGCGGCCGCCGTGATGACAATGATGATGATGATGATGATGATGATGATGATGATGATGATGATGAGGATGAGGATGAGGATGAGGATGAGGATGAGGATGAGGATGAGGATGAGGATGAGGATGAGGATGAGGATGAGGATGAGGATGAGGATGAGGATGATGGTGATGATGCTGTTGTTGATGATAATGATGCTGTTGATGATGATGTTGGTGATGATGATGGTGGCGATGATGATGGTGATGTTGATGGTAGTGGTGATGGTGATGGTGATGGTGATGGTGATGGTGATGGTGATGGTGATGATGGTGATGATGATGTTGTTGTGATGGTAGTGGTGATGGTGGTGGTGATGGTGGTGGTGATGATGATGACGACGATGCTTATGATGATGACGATACAGATGTAAGGAGAGGAGCAAGGGATGAGGGAGCAGCGGGAGGAGGTGGGAGACGCGGGGCGTTGCGGACTCAAAACGAGGACCCCACACCACGGGATGGTTGGGAACAGTGCAAGGTGATCGAGGGTCGCTTGGACATGTTGCAACGTTTGTCACGAAGTGTGCTGTGTATTGCTTCGTGACAGGGATGATGGGGCGTGGCTGGCATTGTTCTTGTCGGTCGCCGGCCGAGTGGGCGAGGGGGTGTTCTTGGTAGGAACGGTGACAAACCCCTCCCTGAAAGGGATGAAGGGCGGCGGAAGAGGATACGCACTAGACCGCCTCATCCCTAAAGGGCCGTTGGGGATTGCAGATATTGCGCCACATAGTTTACACCTTATACCTGGCATCCTATGTATCGCACGTTGAGAATGTAATAACCCACTTTGTGAATCCTGCGCTGACAAACACACGGTTGCGCCGATTTTTGTTCCTCTAGGTATGAGTGTGTTGTCCGTTGGCATGGATGCAGCTCCTGTGAGCGGCTTGGCGGTGTTCGCGCCTGGGCTCTACACCAAACCCGACGCCACGCCTTACTTGGCCAACATCACGGTGCCTGCACTTGTAGTGTCTGGATCCATGGACTGTGGCCAGAACGCTCTGGACAAGCAAGCGCAGCCAGCGTTCGATGGACTTGGGTCCAAGACAAAAGTTCTGTTAGTGCTAAGGGGCGCAAATCATTGTCAGTGGACCCAGCCATTCGAGAAGGGCTTTGGCATCCAGCTGCCTGCGGCAAGTCCTGCCACCGTTCCAGCCCAGCATTCTTGTTGGCGACTCTTCGAGGGGGCACGGGAGGCCGTCACGTGTGACATTTCGTGTCTCCAGGCTTGAGATGGCAGTGATGGTGATGTGGAGGAGGGTGTGGATGATTGTGGTAATGATGAAGAAGAAGATGATGATGATGATGATGATGATGATGATGATGATGATGATGATGATGAGTATGATGAGTATGATGATGAGAATGATGCTGATGGTGGTGATGATGATGAAGATGATGGTGATGGTGATAATGATGGTGACGATGTTGGTGATGATGATGATGAAGATGATGATGATGATGATGATGATGATGATGATGATGATGATGATGATGATGATGATGATGATGATGATGATGATGATGAGTATTGGAATGGCCTCCGGCCAGTGCCCCCGATCCAGTGGCGTTTCTGTTTCTTGCGCTGTTCGTCTTCTCTCTGTTCACCTCCTGCTCGCGTGTCTCCTGTTCGCATTGTGGTATTCGTCGCCGCCCCCTCCAAACCTGAATGGGGGCAGCCACCCCCCCCCCTTCCCCAGCAGAGCCACCCCAGGACCCCCAAACTCCCTCCAAACCTGAACGGGGGCAGACACCCACCCTTCCTCGGCAGAGCCACCCGGGCACCCCCCAGCGCCCCCCCCCCCCCCTCCAAACCTGAATGGCCCCCCCCTCCAAACCTGAATGGCGGCAGCCCCCGCCCCCCCTCCAAACCTGAATGGGGGCAGCCCCCCCCCCCCCCCTTCCACGGCAGAGCCACCCCGGCACCCCCCAAACTCTTTCCAAACCTGCATGGGGGCAGCCCCACCCCCCCCCCTTCCACCGCAGAGCCACCCTGGCACCCCCCAAACTCCATCCAAACTTGCATGGGGGCAGCCCCCCCTTCTTCCCTGGCAGAGCCACCCTGGCACCCCCAAAACTCATACGCCGGATCGGCGGATTCTCCTGATGGTTATGATAAGTTTGATTATTAGGCTTATAATGGTTATGCGAGCGATGACGATGACGGCGACGCCGGCGATGATTATGATAGTGATGATGATGATGATGATGATGATGATGATGATGATGATGATGATGATGATGATGATGATGATGACGATGATGATGATGATGATGATGATGATGGTGATGATGATGATGATAATGATGATGATGATGATGATGATGATGATGATGATGATGATGATGGCGCTGATGATGATGGCGCTGATGATGATGATGATGGTCTTGATGATGACGATGATGAAGGTGATGATTATGATGATGATACTGACGACGATGATGATGAGGATGACGATGACGATGAATATGACGATGATGAAGCTGATGATGATGACGATGACGATGACGATGATGATTATGATAATGATAATGATGCTAATGATGATTATCATGATGATGATGACGATCATGGTGGTGATGCTGATCATGATGTTGATGGTGAGGGTGGTGGTGGTTCTGTGATGATACTAAAGATGATGGTGGTGCTGATGTTGCTGGTGGTGTTGGTGATGATGGTGATGAGGATAATGGCGAGTATGACGATGGTAATGACGACGATGATGGTGATGATGATAACAAGTAAGAGGATGTACCTCGTTTGGGTCGTCTTGGGGCTGTCTTGGCCTCCTGTGATTCAATCTTGGGGGTTCTGTAGGGCCCTCTAGGGCCGCTTGGCGCCCTCTGACGCCTGCTTGGGGCTCTCTTGGGCCGTCTCGGGGCCCTCTTGACCGTATGGTGGGTGTCTGAAGGCCGTCGTGCTGCCGTCGAACGGCCGTTGAAGGGCCTTTAAGGCTGTCTCGGGTTCCACGGGAAGCCCTCTTGGGCCTTCGTGAGGGCGTCTTGGATGCCTCTTGGGCCATCGTGGAGTCGTCTTGGGCCGTCTTGAGCTGACGGCAGCCCGAAAAGGCGAGAATGCGAAAACCATTCAAAAACCTAACGGACATTGGTGATTTGGCTTCTTCGGACCCTGTTGGAGGTCCTCTTGTGGCCCTCTTGCAGGCATGTTGGGCCGTCTTGAATATATGTTCGGTCGCACTGGGGCCATCTTGGGCCGTCTTCGAAGCATCTTGAGCCATCCTGGTGTCCCTGGTTGCTTGCACCGGCCGTCTTGGAAGCTTGGGACGTAGATCCATCGTTGTTACCGAAGTATCGTGGTTTGGGAGGCCATGGAGCGCTTGGGAGCAGCGCCTGGAAATGTGGGATTTGCACAATCCTCGAGCGCATGCGCGTGGGATGAGGGGTCTAGGGGTTACAATCCTCGAGCGGGTGAACATGGAATGGCGGTTCAGGCGTTACGTGGCTGCCATGTGGTGAGTGCATCTTCGAGCGGGCACGTGTGGACGGGAGGTTTAGGCATTAGCTGCCATGCGGGGAGTGCACCATCCTCGAGCTGGCTCGCGTAGAATGGGGTTTAGGCAAAAGCTGCCATGCTAGAAGTGCACCATCCTTGAGCGGCGGGCACGAGGGGAGTGGCTTCGGAAAGGAGGGGCGATGTGCATGCAACAGTCCGCGAGCAGAGGGGGGGGTCCCTGCTTGGATTGCAGAGGACCCTGCCAGACAGACCTTGGCACTCTTCCACGCCTCAGCGTGCCAGGGGGTACGGTGGCGGATCTGTAAGGCTTTGGGGAATGAGTGCCACTCAATCGCAAGGGCAGTGCAGCATCAGTTAGGCGCCAGATTAGTCAAAGCGTTTATTGACGGACTCGAGTCTGACGAAAGGTGGAGCGGTTTTGAGCAGATGTTGGTTTCTGGGGAGGCGAACGGCACATGGACGTACATATCCTCGAGAACATCGGAGCACGGCAAGGTATTGCACAACGATTGTCCATGCACCAGTGCAGGTGTTACTTCCATGCTTGTCTAAGTAGTGTGCTGCCAAAGTTTCACTTGCCTGCTTTCCCACGTGAGCTATTATTGCGCAGCCCGTACTTGCACACCCTTTGTAATGCTCATCTGAATGGAAAACCCCAAGAAGCGATTCGAGGCGCGCCAACAGGGACGAGATGGGGTGCGGGACGCAAGAAGGATAAGATGAAGTGGAACAGGAGGAGAGGGGGGGGCGCGGGGGGGGGCAACGACGAGGAGGATGATGTGGAGGAGAAGGAGCAGGATGAGCGGTGGGAGAAGGGCAGGTGGATCTGCGGTTGAAGGGGCACAGGCAATAGAGGCTGGATGACGAGGAGTGGCAAAGAGAGGCGGACCAGGAGGAGGAGGAGGAGGAGGAGCGTGACGAGGAACGGAAGGGGGAGGAGGACTCAGAAGACGATCAGGCGGAGGACAAGGAGGAAGAAGAGACAGTGGAGGCAAAGACGCAAGAGTGGGTGGATGAGAAGGGGAAGGATGAACATCAGGATTTGGAGGAGGAGGAGGACAAGGAAGGTGCCTACGAAGGCGGAGGGGAAGGAGAAGGAACAGGAGGTGACAGTGGAGAGTTTGCCGTGGAAGAGACGAGGGTGGAGGAGGATGCTCAGGTGGAGGAGGAGGCGAAGGTGAAGGAGGAGGCGAAGGAGGAGAAAAAAGGTCGAGGCTTGCACGTCGTGGAACCTGCGTGGCCCTACAAGCACACAGGTCGCGGAATCTGTGGTTCCCAGGCCACGCTGTGCGAAACGCAGCAACATCGACAGCGACAATTTCGGTAGTTGCTCCACCTCTCACGGTCAGCACTGCCCTCCCGTCGTCGTCAGGCGCGGGTGCAATTGTGTGACCTTCGTTATCTATTACAAGCCATTCGCGGACGTGATTTTCAGCTATTTGCCGATTCGTGACGATTCATTGACACCAGCATTCGAGTGACAAGCGGCGACCTTCGACATGTTCTCCGATGATTGGACGCCAGTCTCGCGCACTGCGGATCCGGGAATGCATGCGGATTACCTGGCCAATTTCACCATTGATGCCAGGCGTAATTGGCTTAAGGAAATCAAGCTTGTACTGCAAGAGTCCATGCACAGCCAATTGTTTCGTTTCAATATGCTGCGGCCGAGGACGTGCGGTGACGGCGGCGCCAATGCGTTCGGGCGGAGCCTGACTGAAGGCAGAAAAAGGGTCGGGGACATCAGGATTCACACCTGGCATCCTTGCCCTGCATTCCCACGAGCCCTATCCGCCTCGGCGTGAGCGTCCACGAAGCGATCGCCGAACTTGAGGTCAAGGAGAAAAGCGCAGGCGAGCAGGCAGACTTTCCCGTCCAGGGAAGCACGGCAAGCTATGGCGCGAGCCTCTCTCACTGAGAAGGCAGCCACATGCACGCTCGCAGAGATACCACAGGCGGAGCGCCCAGCCAGCTGTTTGGCAGCGCGGCACCACACTAAGCGGAAGGAGGAGGAGGAGGAGGAGGAGGAGGAGGGCGAAACACAAGGCAAGCAGACGCGAACATGCAGGAGGAGAGGGGGACGGCAGAGGCAGCAGCAAGCAAGCACGTTGGGGGCGGGCGGGGGGGCGGGGGAAGGGACGAAGGCCGGCGGCGGCGGTCGGGGGGTCGTCGTGGGTCCTCGCGAGACTGGGGGTCGTCGTGAGTCGTCCGGGGGCGGGTGGTCATCGCGGGCTGGGGGGGATGGGGTTGGTCAGGGGCGGAGGGCGGCCTGGGGCAGCGTGGCGGCCGCTCACGCGGCGTCCGCCGCCTGCGCCGCTGTCGCCGCGGCCAGCCTGGCCGAGGGCGCACCGCGTGGCGCCTGCAGACGGCGGAGCACGGTCCGCGCACTCTCCTTGTGAAGGAGTAGCCAGAGTCGCTTGGCGTGCTCCGCCGCCGCCTGCGCAGGGACTTCTCCAGTGGCGTCCGCCGCGTGCTTCGCCAGTGGCGTCAGCCATATCTGCCATACCGACGGTGAAACTCGACGTGCCAGTTGTTCGGCGGCTGTGTGGGCAGCGGAAGCCGTCGTCATATCTGACGGCTGTCGCTAAACGTTCGCATCGTATTGTGAAGGCTTTACGGCCAGTGCCGCCGACCCGGAAGGTCGACGACGACGACCACGACGACAACGAGAACGACGAGGTGATGACCCTGCCACAGGCTCCGGACATGGGGCGGGCGGTGGAGCGAGGAGGAGGAGGAGGCGGATGGGGAGGAGGAGGAGAAAAAAAAAGAAAATGAGGAGGGGAAGCGGCGGGACGACCTCTACAAACGACCTGCCCTCCAAAAGTCCCCATCAACAGGCCTTTTTCTTCCCGACCTCCACGGCGAGCGCCGCGCGCTTGCTTCGCGCGCTTGCGTCGCGCCACGCCGGCCACCAACCCCCACCTTCTCCCCTTCCTTCTCCTCCTCCTCCTCTTCCTCCTCCTCCTCCTCCTCCTCCTCCTCCTCCTCTTTCTCCTCTTCCTCCTACGCCTCTCTCTGTTATTTTTCCTCATCTTCCTCCTTGCTCCCTCTCCTTTTCCTTCTCTCGCCCCCTCCTACTTCTCCCTTTCCTCCTCCACATCCTCCTCCTCCTGCTTTTCTCCTTCCCCCCCCCTCCTCGCGGCGCTTGCATTTTCGGACTCCCTTCGGACTGTCATGGTTTTTTCCTCGGCCCGGCCCTCAGAGGCTCCCAAGAGGCGACCAAAAAACCACGAAAGGCCTCCAAGAGGCTCCTAAGAGGCCGCTAAGAGGCCCCCACACGTGCCCCAAGGCCTCCGAAATCCCCACCAGGCCCCCAAGACGCACCCAGTGTTCGCCAAGAGGCCGCAGTTGACCCCTTCCCCTCCCAGAGTCCAGAGGCCCCAAAGGCTCCCAAGATTGGTCTGGTGAAGGTGGTGGTGGCAGTGACTGCGCCAGTAGTGCTGTTGGCGATGGTTCAGGTGGCAGGGATGGTGGCACTGGCAGTGGTGAGGTGGTCATGGTGGTAGTGCTTGATTGCGGTAGTGGCAGTGGTCGCGGTAGTGGCAGTGGTAAAAGGCAGGGGTTCAGCCTCTGTTGGTCAATGTGATCGTGGTAGGTGCAGCTGTCGCGGCGCAGGCTGTCATTTTGATTGCGGCGATGGCCGCGGCAGTGGCCAGGGCGTCGTCACAGCAGTTTACCAGTGGTCGCGATAGCGGTAGTGGCGGTGGTGGCGGTAGTTGTCGTAGCCCAGTTGTGGCTATAATCTAAGCGCGTGAAGCGCGCGTGGTTCTAGTGTGTGTATGTATACACATATATGTATGCGTGTGTATGTACATACGTGTATGGAGAGAGTGAGAGAGAGTGAGAGAGAGAGAGAGAGAGAGAGAGCGCGACATTGATGGAGATAGTGAGGGAGAGAGCATTCATGTAGATCCGTACGTCTGGAGAGAGTGTGAGAGGGGGAGAGTAAGAGAGAGAGGCAGACAGGCATGCAAACTAGCAGGCAGAGAGAGGGAGAGAGAACCACCAAACAAACACAACAACAACTAACGCACTTCGACACGTATTAACTCCCAGCCAATCACCGCTAACTTACCCCCTATTCCCCCTCGTCCTCCTCCTCAGCGGGGGGAAGAGATAGAAAAAGGAATATAAGAACACGGCGCCTTCACTTCATCCTCCACATCCTCCCCTCCCTGCGCAATTTCCGCCACCTGCTCAGAATCAGAATCGTCATCATCCCCAATCCTTGTCCAACTGCTGCGTGGATCACATTGAAAACAACACCAGCGCACAGCAAGCACGTAATCAAAGACAGGGCTCAAGCAACGCAGGACGACACACATACAAAACAACACACTGGCAAACGATCGAAACTTACTCCAACCACCCAGTGCCCCACCATCCCCCTCTCTCATCGTTCCATCCCTCGCCCTTCCCTGGTCGAAATACGGGCGAGGAGGAGGAGGAGGAGGTGGAGGAGGAGAGGGAGAAGGCTGGAGGTGCGGCACAGCCAGTACATCGCGCTCCAGCTCAGGGGGAAGTTGTGCACCGCGGTCTGAATCACCAGCCGATCCTGCCGTTTCCCTCTAGCGCTCTGCTGCTCCTCCTGCCCGTCTTTCCCTCTCTCTCTCTCTTTATCTCGAGTTGCCCGGGGGCCTCCGGAGGTCCCATGGAGGCCTCCAGCAGCCTCTGGAGGCTCAGAGGGGGCACAAAGCATCCAAAATCACCGATCATCCCCGTCCCCGTGCTACTCATCATCATCTCATTACCTCTATTATTCCTCGGCTTTGGGCGCTATTGCCTGAGCCAGTCGGCCGCTCACGTCCCTTTTGAACACGTTGCGGAATGCGATCGCGCGTTCGAGCGCGATCAGTTCCAGGCTTGAAGGAAGGCAGGAGTCTCTTCCTGAAGATGCTAGACGTGCATGCTCCTGCTCCTGCTCCCCTGCTCCCCTGCTGCTGTTGCCGTCACGACCGTCGTCGTCATCGTAACCATCGAAGCTGATGACGCCGTCGTCGCTGCGCCCCCCCCCAAACAACGACAGCAACAGCTCTGCCGCAGGCCGCATCTGCTCGGGCCGTTGCACACGCGTCCGTGACTGCGCGGCCGCGCCTGCTGGGCCCGCTCAGGGCCCTTTCGTTTCCGCCGCGGCGGGCTACCCCCCGCCTGGCGGGCAATGGCTGAGGAGAAGAAGAAAAAGAAAAACAGGGAGGTCGGCGACAATGGCCAGGGCAAGCTCCTCTCCATCCAGCCGGAGGAGAAATCCACGCCCATCGACACCTCCAAGTGGCCCCTGCTGCTGAAGAACTATGGCAGCATGCTCGTACGCACCGGCCACTACACGCCGCTGCCGTTCGGCTGCTCCCCACTGAGCAGGACCATAGCTGACCACATGCTGTACGGGATCATCAACTTGGATAAGCCAGTCAACCCATCGAGTCACGAGGTTGTGTCATGGATAAAGCGCATCATGAAATGTGAGAAGACTGGGCACTCCGGCACGCTCGACCCCAAGGTGTCTGGCTGCTTGCTGGTTTGCCTCAATCGTGCCACCCGCCTGGTCAAGGCGCAGCAGTCGGCAGGGAAGGAGTACGTCTGCATAGTGCGATTCCATTCAGATATCGGAGGCGGTGCAAAGGTCCAGCGCGCCCTCGACATGCTGACGGGGGCGTGCTTCCAGAGGCCTCCTGTCATCTCCGCGGTGAAGCGTCAATTGAGGGTCCGGACGATCTACGAGGCGAAGCTCTTAGAATACAACTCGAAGAGGCATATGGCCATCTTTTGGACCTCGTGCGAGGCGGGCACCTACATCCGGACGATGTGCGTTCACATGGGTCTCATCTTGGGCGTGGGAGCCCACATGGCGGAGCTGCGCCGCGTGCGCTCCGGAGTGTTGGACGAGAACAAGTACATGTCTACGATGCACGATGTTCTCGATGCCCAGTTTATGTACGAGAACCTCCGGGACGAAAAGTACATTCGACGTGTGGTGATACCGCTGGAGTTTCTCCTCACGACGTACCCGCGCCTAGTTGTCAAGGACAGCGCCGTGAACGCCATTTGCTACGGCGCCCAGCTGATGATCCCGGGGGTCTTGCGCTTCGACAAGAACATCGAGGTGGGCTCTGAGATCGTCATGATGACCACTAAGGGCGAGGCGATCGCTACAGGCATCGCTCAGATGACAACTGCAGTGATCTCGTCCGTTGACCACGGCGTCGTGGCGGTGATCAAGCGTGTGATCATGGAGCGCGACACCTACAACATGCGCTGGGGGTTTGGGCCCCGATCAAGCGACAAGAAGAAGCTCATCCTCGCTGGGAAGCTCACCGAGAAGGGGAAGCCGAACGAGAAGACGCCCAGGGCGTGGCTCTTGGGCCAGGGGAGGTGGAGCTGGCTTCCCAAGCTCACCGCCGCCGGTGCGGACGAGGAGACCGTCGAGGAGCCGAAGGCGAAGAGGAAGAAGGACCAGGAGGCCGCGGAGGCCGTGGATGAGGAGGAGCAGCCAAAGAAAAAGAAAAAGAAGGCGACCGAGTGAGCGCGCTCAAGCCGTGAGCTGAGACTCTGCAGCCATTTTCCTGGCGCTCGCTTGCGTGACGTGAGGGGTAGGGAAGTCCCGAGACCAGAACTCGTCCAGCACCCTGGGAGCTTGGATGATCGCCTCTTTCCTTACCCTCCCTCCTCGATCCTCCCTCCATCCCTGCTCCCTCCCTCATCCTCCCTCCCCCTCATCATCCTGCTTCTGCTCCTGCTCCTGCCCATCATGCTCATTGTCCTCCTCGCCCCTCCTCCTCGTCATCCACCATCCTCGCTTCTACCTCATCCTCCCCCTCTCGCCTCCCTCCAGGTCCTGCTTTTGTTAATCCTCTTCTTCTTCCCCTAAGAGTCGTCAAGAGCATCCCGTACACACATGATCCCCTTGAAAATTCGAGAACTTCCAAGAACCCATAAGACCCTCGATCCCCCTGGACATCCCCACCTATCCTCCTCCCCCTCCCTACCCCCCTCTCCTGTTCAGGTGGAGGGATGATGAATGAGGGCGAGGAGGAGATGGAGGAGCTCGAGGATGGAGGAGGAGGAGGAGGAGGAGGAGGAGGAGGAGGGGGAGGAGGAGATGGAGGAGGAGAAGGAGAAGGAGGAGCAGTGGGGCACCAGATGCGTCGCGCGACAACACGGGAGTGTAAATGTAACCCTGCCTATGGCCAATTTGGCCTTTCACATGAGCCGAGTTGGATGAGAGGAGGGTAGGAGGATGAGGAGGAGGAGGAGGAGGGGCGGAGCAGGTTGAGTAAGGAGAACAATGAGAATGAGCGGGATGATGATGATGATGATGATGATGATGATGATGATGATGATGATGATGATGATCATGATCATGATCATGATGATGATTGTGATGATGATGATGATGATGAGGATGAGGATGAGGATGAGGACGAGGATGAGGATGAAGAGGATTAGTATGAGGATGAGTATGAGGATGAGGAGGATGAGGATGAGGATGAGGATTATGAGGATGAGGATGAGGATGCTAGTGATGATGATGATGATGATGATGATGATGATGATGATGATGATGATGATGATGATAAGGATGATGGTGAAGGGGATGATAATGACGATGATGGTGATCATGATGAAGCTGATGAGGATGAGGATGACGATGATGATGATGACGGATGATGATGGTGGTTGTGGTGATGATGTTGATGTTGATGATAAAGATGATGGTGATTATGACGATGATGGTGATGGTCATGCTGATGCTGATGCTGATGCTGAGGATGGTGATGCTGTTGGTGCTGCTGCTGATGATGATGATGACGCTGGTGATGACGATGATGTCAGTTATGATGATGACGATGATTATGTTGTTGTAGGTGCTAATGTTGATTATGATTTTGTTGATGATGTTGATGATGTCGATGATGATGTTGATGATGATGTTGATTATGATGCTGATGACGATGCTGATGATGACGATGACAATGACGCTGACGATGACGATGCCGATGCTGATGATGATGAGGAGGAGGAGGAGGAGAAGGAGGAGCAGCAGCATTAGGAGGCGTGGGAGGGAGCAGCAGGAGGAGGAGGAGGAGGACGACGACGACGCGTATGAGGAGGCTCAGGAGGAGTAGGAGGAGGAGGAAGAAGAAGAAGAAGCGGAGCAGCAGCAGCTTGGGAGGGAGAAAGACATGGAGGATGACGAAGTGGAAGCGTTGTGATGAGGAGGAGCGGAGGGGGATTGGAGAAGAGAAGTTCCAGGGAGTCCGAGGAGGCAGAGATGCAGGAGGGTCAATCCGTTTTAACAGCCCCCCGGGCATCGAGCGGGCCCGAGGGAGCGGAGCGCCCATCGGCCGTGCACGGGTGTCCGGCTCTGCCGCCAGAAGGGGCTGCATGTGTCCTCGCATGCGAGAGAGCGGCGATCGCCAAGAGTTCCAAGAAACGCAGCCCCACTCATCGTCGTCGTCACCATCATCGATCATCATCAACCATCCTTAGCGTCATCTGCATCATCATCACCATCACCATCACCATCACCATCACCATCACCATCACCATCATCATCATCATCATCATCATCATCATCATCATCATCATCATCATCACCATCACCATCACCATCACCATCACCATCATCACATACTACCATCTATCATGCCGTTTCGTATCATACCACATCATATCATCATATACAGCATCTCATCACCAACATCATCAACAGCCTCCTCATCCTCACCATCGTTTTCATCATCCTCATCGCCACCAGCGTCATCGCCCCCATAGTCATCATCCATATCAGCATCATCATCAACGCCGTCAACGCCATCTTTATCATCGCCAGCATCACCATTCACCTTTCGCAACCACTGCTAGTGCCACCGTCGTCATCGTCGTCATTACCACCCTAACCATCAGCAGCAGCATCACGATCATCAGTCATCACCACCCCCATCCTACTCGTCATCCTCATCCTCATCATCAGCATATTCTTCACCATCATCGACATCATCATCACCACCATCATCCTCGTCAGCACCACCGCCATCATCATCGTCATCATAATCAGCATCATCAGCACCATCACCATCGTCATTATCAGCATCATCGCCATCAGCGTCATCATCATCGTCATCATCGTCGTCATCGTCGTCATCATTATTATGATAACCATCTTCAGCTTCATCATCCACCGTCCTACGAGCCTTTGAGGTGTGGACCTCGTTCTCCCTCCAAGGGGAGGCGGCCCTCGTCCCCATCCACCCATCCATAGTTTGGTCGGGTGGATGGGATTTAAAGCCTGGGCGGCACAACAGCCAACAGGGGGGGGGGAGGAGCGACCCCTGAGGAGAGAGAGAGAGGGAGAGAGAGAGAGAGCGCGAGAGCGAGGACGCGGAGTGGCCGACACGTGGAGGAGCAACAGGAGGAAACGGGAGAGAGGAGGAGGAGCGGGGAGCAGCAAGCAGCATTGCTGAGGAGGGTCGCCAACACAGCCGACGCACCACTGGAGCATCCCCGGGAGGGTTCTCTCGGGGTGGCTTCGGCGGCATCGGCGGCCATCTGGTCAGAGTCGCCCGTTCATGTTCCCCGACTCCTGTCCTTCTCGCGCCTATCCTCGTTCATTCCAAGTTGGCAGACATCGGCAGTGGATCGAGAAAGAAAAAGAATCATGAGCTCACCCATCACAGAGTATAGGAAGTCCAAGAACACATTCTCTGTTAACCTTTGCCTAGCAAGGGTCGCCATGCTGGATGCCGCGCCTTGCCACCTGCTCCTCTCCCTCTCCCTCTCTCCCTCCCCCACCCCAGCTCCCGTTCGCGTGAGCTGCAAGCGGGCGCCTCCGCTGGCGGGGGCACGGTCCGCTGCCAGGGCAACGGTCTTTTGAGGTGACCCGCCGTGTCCGGGTGCGAGTTAGCTCAGGCCTCGTGCCAGTGTCACCTTGTTGCAGCAATTTGTCGGGCACAGCGTAAGACATGAGATGGTCTGCTTGGCGCTGCTGGCATGTCCAGCTGTTGCACTCGCAGGTCGGGCCAACGGCGACCTCGACAATGCGTGAATGGCAGTCCGCGCACTGCGTCCCAGCAGTGGCTCTGACCTGGCGCAGCAAGTGCCCGTGGTGCCCTCATTGGCTTCACTGGTTGTCCTCGGTCACGCTCGTGTGTTTGGTTGCGCCCTTGGGTTGCGCCTGAGTGCTTGCGGATTCGTCGTGGCCATTGGTTGTTCCCACCACTAGGTAAGCCAGAGGATGTGCCCATGGGATGCGCTTGAATATGCACGGGTTCACGGGCTTTTCGTGGCTATTGTTTGTGCCAATCAACCCGTTGTAAGATCGAACATCGAACATGCCAAACCATCTCGCACATGATTGTAGCCTGGACTGTCTGATTGTCGTCCGTAGACAGTGGCAATGATATTACCATTTATTCGCAGCCGCCGCACGGATGAGCGTCGGATTCTTTTTCATGCTTCGTCTCTGCCACCAGGTACACAGTTTGCCGAGTTGTTGCACGTAAGCCACAGCGAACCCCAAACAGTAAGTTATTGCATTGTGGCTGTACAAGCTTTACGGTGCAAACTATTTGGTGCTTGCCGTGTGGTGCAGTAAATGTGGTACAGGATAGAGGCGGCAACGAAGCGGCAACGGGCGGCAACGTGAAGAAATTTCTCCTAACCAATCCAATTCCTCAGTCACCGAAGTAATACCCCCTGAGGTCAAGCACCGTTCGGGGAATAATATGTTCCTGAAAAAGCCGCGACGAATTATCCGTTGTCACCTCTACTTCCGAATGAGGGCTATCAACAACTATGAGGATGAACAGAAGGAGCACTTCACAGAAGGAACAGTCGAGCCCAGTTAAGCTTCCGTGGAGTTGCGGACGAGACACAGGGGGCAAGGGACAGGTCAGTTTGAAGGGTATCGTGGGCTTTCTCCATAAGGATATGGCTCCAATAGCAAAAGTGAATCAGTAACTCCAGCAAGGCTTTGGGAGTTTCGACTTGCGGTCACTCCGATTCTGGCCCACCACGCCTCGGCGCGCCACGCTATTCACGTCCCGGTCCCCAAGCGTCAACGCCCCGAGCTTTTATGAGCCTTCTGCCGCGCAGAGCGGAGCGACACGCTGTCCACTCGCAAGGCATAGCGTGTCGCCAGGCCGCCGCCGCGACACGCTAAGCGAAAGTTCCTGAGCGTTATTTCAGCACGGCCTCGGGAATATCGACTCAGATTGCGACCATGGGTTGCGCTTGAATGTGCTCGTATTTTCGTAGCCGTTGGTTGCGCCCATGGACTGCGCACGAAGCTGCGCCCACTGGTTGCGCTTAAAGCTACAGGCGCGTGCCGTTGCCATAGGTTGCGCCATCCAGTTTCTGCCCGCGGGTTGCAGCTAAAGCTCAGGGATGGTCCGTGGCCGTAAAGTGCGCGAGTGTGAATTGTGCAGTAGAGCGTTGCTTTGCGTGGTTTTGTGTGTAGTCGTTTTGCGTACAGTTTTTGTGTCGATTTGCATTCCTTTGCAATATTTCGCGCGCATCGCACCA